CCCGCACAGCCGGAACCGCCGCCCGACCCGGAAGTTGTCGGCTCGCCCGCCCCGCCCCCGGAAGTGAAGCCGCGCCGCCGGCGCCGCTGCGTCCTCCCGGCTCTGCGCCCGCCTGGCCGCCCTGCCCGCGGCCCCGACCCTGCCGACCCTCCCGGGCCCCGCTCCCGGTCTTTTCCGGCAGGCCAGCCTTCCGTGCCAATAATAAGAATAATAGTGTTCGCGTCGTTCATGACCGTTTGGTGACAAAACGCGCCTCAGTCCTTAGCCTTTCAAAAGGGAGACTGGATTGGGCTGGGGGTGCGGGGCGCGCGTCTCCGAGCAGGAGGGGCCCACACAGCCCTTGTCACCTTGTGTTCTCGTTGTCCCCCCCCCCCCCCGAGTCCGTTCGCTCGGGACTGGCCCCAGGAGGGACATAACCATGGACACCGACTGTGCGTGGGGCACTGGAGTGACATGTGAGACGAGGTCCCGGCTCTCTTGAAGCTAAGCTGACGTCTTGCTGGGGAAGAGACAGAAATACGTTCAAACTGGTTTCTAAAGTCAAGGTCATTTTAGGTGTTGATCATGAATTAAATAGGGATCCGCCTGATGGCGCGGGGAGGGGACACGGAGGGTTACAGAGACCACCGCGATCGTGAAGATGTGACCTACGAACTCTGTCCGTGCCCGCGCGCAGCCATGGCTTGTGGCCCCAAGAAGCATCTGAAGCGTGTGGCGGCTCCAAAACACTGGATGCTGGATAAACTGACCGGTGTGTGTGTGCTCCTCATCCAGCCACCGGTCCCCACAAGCTGAGCGAATGTCTCCCTCTCATCATCTTCCTAAGGAACAGACCGAAGTATGTTCCTAACAGGAGATGAAGCACAGAAGGTTTATTGAAGATTGATGGCAAGGTCCGAACTGATGTGACCTCCCCCGCTGGTGTGACGGACGTCATCAGCATGGACAAGACAGAGAGAACTTCAGTCTGATCTATGACACCAAGGGTCACTTTGCTGTTCGTCGTATTACACCCGAGGAGGCCAAGGACAAGTTGTGCAAAGTGAGAAAGATCTTTGTGGGCACAAAAGGAATGCCTCACCTGGTGACCCATGATGCTCGCACCATCCGTTACCCTGGTCCCCTCATCAAAGTGAATGACGCCATTCAGGTTGATTTGGAGTCAGGCAAAATTACTGATTTCATCAAGCTTGACACTGGTAACCTGTGCATGGTGACCAGAGGGGCCAGCCCGGGAAAAATGGGTGTGGTCACCCAACAGAGAGAGACACCCTGGTTCTTTTGATGTGATTCATGTGAAAGGTGCCAATGGCAACAGCTTTGCCACCCGGCTCGCCGGCGTTTTTGTTATTGGCAAAGGCAACACAATATTTTTGTTATTGGCAAAGGCAACAAACCTTGCTTTTCTCTTCCACTGGAAAGGGTGTCCGCCTCGCCATTGCTGAAGAGACAAGAGACTGGCAGCCAAACAGAGCAGCGGGTGAAATGACCTATGGTGACATGACTGGGAGAGTCTCCGTCCCCAATTAAAGACAATATAGCATTAAAAAAAAAACATCTGGCCTGTGAAAATCTGGGCAAGACTGCCCCAAACAGAGGAAGAAGCAAGTGCCAAGAGCTTTGGGGAGGGGGCAGGAAAGAATGAATGGCCTGTGGCTGGAGAGAGGATGGAAAGCCTGGGAGGTAGGCAGAGGCCAGATGTAGGCTTTGGGAGCCATGATAACAGGTTGGGTTTTGTTCTAAGTGCATCGGGAAGGCACTGCAGGGTTTTCAGCAAGTAAGTGAGAAGGTCTTATTTAATCTGTAAAGACAGTGTAGATTGTGGGGGGAGGGGCAAGAGTGAAAGCAAGGATACCAGGGAAGAGGCAAAGTAGCCCAGGAGAGAGGGAAACATGGCTTTGGCTGGGATGAGTATGAAGATGGGGGAAAATGGAGGACCAGGGTGTTTCCTAGGCAGAGGGAATGACTAGCTGATAATGGGGGAGGGGCTGAAAGAGAGGACTCGGGAATGACTCCTAAATTCTTGGCCTGATGTTTGGGGATAATTTTTACTAGTTGGGGCCTGAGGAGAGAGGCTTAGGTTGGATGGATAAACCAGGAAAAAAAAAAAAAAGATCTTGGCATAATTTGTTAGCAATACAGATGGTCAGCCCAGCTACAGTTTTGCTGTCTAGTGGAGATTTCCTTCATGGCTCATGGACCAAATCACCATTCATCCTGACTTTGGCTCCTGCTCTTTCGTCTCATAGTTCCCTATGCAGCAAACAGATAAGACACTCGTTTTCTCCTTGAATGCCACCTAGGTCATCTCTAGAAAGACCTAGAAGAGTGACATCTGTCTCTATTTTTGGAATGCCTACATGTCCACAAAACGCAGCAAGTTTCAAATTCCACCAAACCCATCAGCCTTGCAGAAATGCGCAGTTAGCAGTGTCACCACATAGATTGGGTAAGGGCGGGTTTGACTGCTAGTCCACATGGTCCTGTTCAAACACTGGTCTCTTGAGAGGGGCAAGATTTTTTTTTAACATACTATTTATTTTTCCTGTGCCACAGAAATTGGCATAAGCTGATTTATGTATTCCAGGAATTCAGATATGCATTATCACATTACTGCAGGAGGTCTTCACTTTGTTTTCCTTTTTTAAGCACGGAGAAGTTTGATGGAGCCATATCCTTGGCTTCGTGTCTGGTGTTTCTGTTGTCCAGTAATAGAAGAAGCTCCCAACGAAACAGTTCTGAATTCTCAAATGGTGTCCACTGATGGACACCACTGGGCAGGTGATGAGAACCCCAGGGTGCAATTTTGGAACAGTTTGCCGATTCTAACTCCTACTGAGGAGAATGGTGATGACTTGATTCTTGTGTTTAAAAAAATACAAGTAGAAATTCCTCCTCCTGCCCATGCAGCACTTCCCAGACGCTCCTGCTTCTGCGCCTCCACAAAAGGTTCTGGATGTAAGATTAAAGCACAAAAACAACCAGTACGAAGTTTAAACATTTAAAACATTTTTTACCAGATTAATGGCTGTGCGTCACTACAGACAGTGGGGGTGGGAGGGATGGGAGGGACCAAATACTGTTTACAGAGTTCCCATTAATCTGTTTTTAGCCCACGTCTCTCTCGTCTCCCAATACCTTGTGTTTCAAAATCTCAAGTGTCTCTGAGATCCGTGGGACACATGAGATCCCTCCTTCATATCTCAGTGTGGATTTTAGCAGAGGCAAACCCTAGGGGTTGGGGAAAGGTGGTGTGATGGAGTAAAAAGAATACAAAAGCATATTCTACTACTACTACTACTACTACTACTACTACTACTACTACTACTACTACTAAACCCCTACTACTGACTTGAACTTGGGAAAGTCATGTCACCCCCTGGGTCTTCCTCATCTGCCCTAACAGTCAGGTACTCTGCTTCAGCGATACAACCTCCCCATCCTCTCAGTCACCCCTAAGAAAAGCAGCTGGGACTTTTCCATTCCGAGAGAGGAGGAGCCATGAGGCTCCTGAAGGCAGAAAGTCCTTGGGGACCCCGAGGAACACAGAAGGCCCCCAGGAGGGAGCTGTGCTGGCAGCCTGAAGTCGTAAATAGCCACTGTGCACCGCGAAGGGGCTTGAACACGGCATGCTTTATCTTGATTGATCGGCCTCGGTCCAGCAGGAGCTCAATCAGGATGAGACCTCTGGGAACGCTGTGGACGGGACTGGGCAATCACTCTTCTCTTCAAGCAGCCTCTGGCCTGACGGGGTAAAGAGCACACTGCTTCCCTTGGGGTCAAGTTGACCATGCAGGGCAAGAGTATGGTGGGTGCCCCACATGTATGCACCCAGGGTGTCTGGGACTAGATACGACCAAAGAGCCAAATCCAGAGGTCATCAGCTTGTGCCTTGGGCTCAAATCTTGCTGGGTCTCACAGATTGGGTTCCACTAAAGCCAACCCTGGGGACGAGAGATGATCGGTCAATGTGCAGGAAGTTTCTTCGGGAATGCCCTCAGGATGGACTCCAGTGGGGGTAGGGAAACAGGCAGGACCGGCAGAGGGAGCAGTGTGGCTGCTGGTACTGTCACAGGAGGAGCCTTTGAAGCTGGAAGGCTGTTCACAGTTGTTAGGAGCTGGGATGGAGGGGCCGAGCCTTTGTGTCCCCCTCTGCATGGACCAGTCACTGGCTGCTAGCTACACCAGGAATGGGGCGTGACCTTGGGTAAGGTGACTCTCCAGTCAAGGACGATTCCTTGAGAGGGCTGGCAGCTGAGATCTGTCCACCTTCCTACACCTTCCCAGTAGCGAGGGAATACGTCCTTTAGCCCTGAAGGGGACTGGGCAGTACAGAACCACCCCATGAGTTTGTATCCTGCACTTCCACCAATCGGTGGAATTGGCGTCGCTCTAAGGAGAGTTTTCAGCCTGGAATGGAGGGAGGGCAGGTGGAGGCCCCGTGCCAGGCACTGACATGCTCCCCTCACAGAACCTTGAAGGCTGCCATGTCTCATCCCTGAGACCTCTCACCATTTCCCTACTGATAGGAAAATGGAGGGAAAGGCTGCATTTTAGGATAGAATGAATTCGGTACATGGACAGATGCTTCGCCAGATGGCTTGGAGGCGAGAACAGGTCATCCATCACAAGAAGCCACCTCCTTGAGGTGGAGAGGAGCGGGGAGCAGGAGGGCTCTGTCCCTTTCCCTTTGTATCAGCCTCCGCAGCTCCGGGTTTATCCAACACGCAGTCAGCCATTGTCTGGGTGGAGCCACAGAAACCCCCGAGGAGCTGACACCTGTCCAGGTGGACAGGGACACCTGTGCAGTGCCCGACGCCTCCGAACACAAGGCGCCAGCCTGGGTCTCATCAGAGTGGGGATGACAGCAGGCCCTACCTCAATGCCGTTGTTTCCACTTCTTCCAGAATTTATTTTTGATAACTGATATTTTCCTACAATTGTCCACTGCCTCTGATTTTTGAATGTCAGTTCCATTGACCTTGTTGGTCTAGTCTCCCGTTGTGTCCCCAACATCAAACAAACTGTAGAGCAGGCTTCCAGGAAATATTCGTTAAATGAGTGAATGTGTGGGGGCTGGAAGGGTTACTTTAGAAAAAAGAAGGAAGAATGAATTCCTCTCCCTATGGTGACTCACTTTTTTTTTTTAAGATGGCCCTTGGCCTTTTCTCATTCAAAACATCCATGAAAAAAAGTGCAGTTTCGGGCAGCTGGAACTGCTGCCCTAACACTATTTAAAATACCATTATTGGGAGGCAGCAGGGGAGCCTGTGCTGGGCTATGAAGGGGTCCTGTGAACCCCTTCACTTCTTGGAGAGCCTCCTCTGTGCCTCCTGCACTCTCCCCATTTCGGCAGTTTCCCAAGAACGGAGGCGAACCCACTGATAGGCAGGCGCTGTGCTGGTCCCCTCAGTTTTGCTTTTCTCCACCCAACTTTCCCCACTCCATCTTCCAGGGGCCGCCCTGGAGGGCAACCCGAGGGGCGGGGCCCGAGGCGTCCCACCGCCCACGGCCCGCGCGGTAACGCCGGCACCTCGCGGGCTCCTGGAGGCTTCCAGACGGTTGGGAGGTGGACCGACTCCAGCTTGGGCCTCGGCTCCGGGAGGCCGTCCTGAGCGGCCTGCCCGCCCGGGGCCATGGAGAAGCTCTTCCACGAAAGCAGAAAAGGTAACTGGGAACAAGCCTGCCTCGGTTTCGCTCCTCTGTAAAATGGGAACGGTCGCCCTGTTGGCCTCTCGCCAACATGTTTACCCAACTATATTTTACACACAGTGACAACCCCCCTTGTCCGTGTACAGCGTTCTGGCAAACGTACCCCCAGGTTTAACCACCTCCGCATCAAGATGTGGAACAGCGCTCCCTGTCCCCCCAATTACCTTGCGCTGCCCCCATGGCTGCGGACCCCGTCTCCCAGCGTCCTGATCTGCTGGCTACAGTTTTGCCCTTTCGGTGGAGAGCGTCACACAAATAGAATCATAGTGTGTGGAGTCCTTTGGGTTTGGCTTCTTTCACTTAGCCCTGCTGTCTTTTGAGACGTTGTTGGTTATATCATAAGCACATTTAATTTGCAAGCTGAGGTTGGAAGTCACGCCTGTGCCTAAGAGGCCACTTCCCTGTAGGCTCAGAAACCAGCTGCTCAAGGAGGGGACGACCTGCTCTAAGTCACTCCTATAATCTTGAAAAGTCTCTGAAGACGGTTCCTACTTGACACGAGATCACTTTTGCAGACAGAGAGCCTCTGTGGCTTAGGAAGCTGAGGTTGGGACGCTTGCTTGGTGGGAAGGGCCGTGAACCCCGCCAGCTCCCCACAGCTGGGGTGGGGGAGCAGGGGTGGCTCCTTCCTCAGTAGTACGGGGGTCTCCTGGACCTCCCCAAACACCAGTCACATGGATTTGGCAAAGGCTTGGCAACTAGCGGTTTGTCACTTGTCCTTAAGGAAAAGTGTGTGTGTGTGTGTGTGTGTGTGTGTGTGTGTGTGTGTGTGTGTGTGTGTGTGTGTGTGTGTGAAATGCTGGAAGTGTGCAGAACACACATCTCCCCAGGAGCTTCCTGTGAACTGAAATTGAGTCTCCCCAGCTTCCTCTTGGGGAAAACAACTTGTTTTCAATCACTCCTCAGTCTTTGAAACTTTCCTTGTGAAGTTTAGTTCCGTAGAAAACAAATTTCAACCCCTCCCACACTACCCATTGTCCCGAGTTCTCCTTGCAAATGCTTTTTGTACTGTGCATTTCCACTGTCATTGCCATGACAAGCTCGGGGGATGCTGTGTAACCCTTTCATTTCCCACTTCCACCCTGGACGCCACCATCCACCCTCCACACAGCAGCCAGAGGTGTCTTTCTTTCTTTTTTATGCAAATTTTACCGTGTCCTGAGTAAACTACCTCTAGCTTTTCCTGGAAGACAACCCTGCGGCAGCAAGCAGCTGGCTCTCCCTTCACTCCTCTCTGTGCGCCTCCTGCCCGCCCCCTGTTGGCTCTTCCATGTCCTTCCCTGTCTCTGATCTTTGGTCCAATTTGCTCCCTTCCACATCCTTTGCCTAGATATTTCCTATTGGCCCTTTCGACCTCAATTCAAATTTTACCTCTTCTGTGAAGCCTGACCCCCCCTCCTTTCTCACCGGAGTCCTCCCGCTGGTCGCCCCCTGAGCCTTCTGTACTTTTCGTTCATAGCATGTGTTAACAGTTGTTATCCGACATATATTTACATACCTGATTGACAGCTCCTCCACTGGGCAGGAAGATCCACGAGGGCAAGAAACACTTCCTGAATCAATATCTGTTAAGTGAACGGGGAATAATAACTACTATCAAACGTTGTGCTGAGCACTGCACAAAAGCCTTTTAACTAACTTCTCCTAGCCCTCTGCGGTGGACATTTTTATTATCCTTGCTTTACCGCTGAAGGCACTGAGCAAGAGAGAGGTTAACAGCCCGCGGGGTGTGGCTTAGAACTCTAGTGACGGCTGTCGTGCTGCTGCTCAGGTGAAGGACTAAAACAGATCTCCTTCCTTTTATTAGAAAGACAAAGCAGCCTCAAGGACGAGTCATCTGTACACAATCTGAGCAAAACTGAACAGACCAAGCTCACTGTGGGCAGCCTGGGACTTGGCCTGATCATCATCCAGCATGGGCCCTTCCTCCAGGTCGCCCACCTCATCGAGAGGGGGGCTGCCGCCAGGGACGGAAGACTCCAGCCAGGTGACTGTGGCTCCCCATGCCTCCCCCACACGCCTTAGGTGTCCGTGTAACCATGATGATGACGATGATGTCGTTTGGGAGCTTTCTAGGGGCCAGCCAGCCGCTGTCGCTTATATAACCGTCATTGTTGTGTGTTATTTCTTCACTGAATTCTTACAGTGACCCTCTAGGTAGGAACTGTGATCACCTCCCTTTTAGAGGTGAGGAGACTGGGGCTCAGTGAGATTGAGTTCCTTGGCCAGTTACCCCCCCCCCCCACCATCCCCACATCAAGCAAGGGGGATGCGAACTCAGGCACAGTGCCACTCCAGGCTTGGGCTCTCTTTGGACGAACCTCTTCTCTCATGGGCATGGGTGGTGTTAACCATCATTAACGTTTAGATCACCATCTCATGTCACCCTCCCGACAAACCCTGAGGTAGATTCTGCATTAAACGACCATATAAATAAGGAATCAGGTATTTACTAAGCTGCCCTCAGTCACACCAAGGAGTGGGGATCCGAAGCTCTCTGGATGATTCCACAGCCCAAGGCTTTATCAGCACCAGCCCGCTTCTCATCTTTGGGGGAGAAAATTTCCCATCCAGTTCAAGACGTGTCTGCCCAGGGCCTGCTGGGCCTAGTGCTGTGCCCGGGAGCCAGGGAGGCACCATGGGACAGTAACGTGGTGACAGGGAAAACCCCTCAGCATTGGCTGGCTCTGCCCCTTTCAAGCTCTATGACCTGGGACAAAGTCACTTTACTTTCCAGGCCTCAGTTCCCTCATCTCTCAGTTGGGATGATACCACCTTTGTCAGAGGTTGCCAGGGTTTGGTAATTTTTATGACAGTGCTTTGTAAACTACAGGGCTGTAGAAATACTGGCAATCGTTTGTTTCTCTTAGGCTGTTCTTCCTTAGAGATTCTCTAGACTTGTGCCTTTTTTTAGGTGTAAAACGATCGTGGAGCAGGAGCCCCAGTGGATTAAACCACTGGCTTGCAACTCTGGTTACCTATTAGAGTCCCCCTGGAGCTTTGAAAACTAAGATGCCTGGGCTGCATCTCCCCAGAGGTTCTGCCTCTGTTGGTTGGAGGTTGGGGACGGGACAGGTCACAGTTTAGAAGTTCCTCGGGTAATTCTAACCACAGCTAGGGTTAGCAGCAGTGGATTAACCTCCCTGGCAGTCTGATTATGTCAGTAATTTTGTAC